TGAAGAAAAGAACAAGGCCAGGCCAGATTAGGAGTAGCCAAAATAACCAAAGAATACTTCGAGGTATACATTATAAAGTTGGAATCCCACCAAATGGCTTTTTCAATCAGAACTTTAAGTTTTTTCTTCAAATTTCATTATTTTCCAGAACTTTAAAACACTGAATGGATATTGAAGACTAAATCAATTCTTACATATTTTCTTTTGGATTATTTGGATTTTCAATTGTAATAAAAGCTCTGCTTTCACAATGGAACTTAGCTCACGGGTTTTGTTGTTGTTGCTGTTGTTTTAGTTCATTTCAGGGAGTTTTTTTGAAAATGCCTTAATTCTGTTCTAAATTGCAAAGAGAAGATTCTGCACACCTCTGTCCTCACAGAAATAGTGACTAGAGTCAGATGTTTACACACATTTGAAATAGGGGTATTTTAACAGGAAGTGATCCATGTAAAAGAACAGTTCAACATGAAGCAAAAATTCTCTCAGGGTTGTCTGCCAATCTAGTATCTCTTAGAAGAGGTGACATAATGTTGAGCTAGTCTTTATTTGGGGATACCACTGTAATCTAAATTTCAGCCTAAGCTTTTAACGGTTTCTCCATGACAATCTGACCCCACAAATGAATCCTTCTGTCACAACTGATACATTGTCGCTTGATCTTGACTAGAGCTAATCAGCACACTGCTCACTTTTCCCACCCTACCATGGAACCCGCTGCTGACATCCTTCAGGGCCTGTTCTGCAGATGCTTCTCAAACATAGCGTCCCACTACTATGACAACCAAAGGACCCTTTAGTGCTTTTTTCTATGCTGGACTCAAAATGGCCACAAAGACTGGTTTTGACTTAGTGATATTTTTTTTTTTTCTGATCCAGATAACTGGTGCTACATATTGAATTGGTGAAGAATCAGAGTCTGGAATCCATGCTGGTTTTATTTATGAAGGAAAATGGTCTGCTTAGTTGAGACCTTAATTAAACACACAAACACTCTGACCAGTTTCTGGACACTGGTACACAACTCTTAGGATGAAGAAACTGATTAACAGCCCCATGCTGAGCACTAGCAAACAGTATCCCACCTAAGCCATAATTAGGCTTTGCTGCTTTCTTCATAAAATATTAAGGCAAAGCTTTATGGCAGATGGAGAAGCTGGGCTCAGACTATCCAGGAAGTAATCCATGTTCAAAGAACCCACTGGCCCTCCAGACTCACTCTTGTCCAGACAAGGGCTGCTGTGGTCACTGTAGGTCAGCCTTTAGAACTGACTTTGTCTAACCAGCTGCCCAAGTCATGAAAGAACTTGTTTAACTAAGTAAATGTATCCTGGACAGAAAAGCAGAAAGAAAACACATGTTTGGGTTTATTCCAGGGGAAGAGTGCTTTCCTAGTGTGCACCAAGCCCTGGGTTGCAACCCAGACAGGACCAAAAAACAAATATCCCAAACAAACAACAAAACTTCTTTCCAAGTAAGAACACACCATGATGGTAAATGGAATATGTTAAAGGTTTGTCAGTAAGGTCGGGAAATAATATAATTACAATGACTGCTCTACCAATAAGAGGCTTTTATATTTCCTCTAGGTGTGCGCACATGCACGCACGCATGAGCACACACACATACACACACACACACACACACACACACACACACACACACACACACACACACAGAGAGAGAGAGAGAGAGAGAGAGAGAGAGAGAGAGAGAGAGAGAGAGAGAGAGTTATGATTTAGATTCGAAGTTTTCAGGCTTTTTCATTGACCTTGAAAAAAAAAGTAGCTCAAGGTTTTCAACTAAGAATGTGCAGAGACTAAACCTTCAAACACACTATTAGTGTTGAGGTTATGGTTAGGATGGTTAGGGTTACAGCTTGAGTGAGTTAAGGCTAGCGTTGAGTTCAGGATGCTCGACTGGCCCCAGTCTAGGGAAGTTATGAGAACACTCCACTTGTGTAGATGGTGTTGCATGGACAGTGTCAGCCTGAACTTTGAGAAGACAAGGGGAGTTCATCTAGTGCTGTGTTGATCAGGGAAGGGACTAGCAGACACCTAGGTCTAAAATGGAGTCTCATGTACAGGGAGGTCAGACCAGAAGGACCAGCTCTCACTCAGGAAGCATCCACAGGGCTTTCAAGACAAGTCTCAACTGTCCCCACCCACTTCTGTGCTTGTCCGACTTCCTTTTTGTGTCATCATTTGGAGTCACCAAATGGCAGTCAGCATAAAGGGACAAGGAAGGAAAAGCGGGCTTGGCTCTCAGCTTCTCTTGTCATGGTGTCCTGACTTAGGGTTGGGAGCAGCTTCTGTGTTTGTCTCCACAGTCCCTGCAGAGCGGGCACACTGTGTAATATAACATGTGCGGGAAAGCATCAGCCCTGTGGGGGGTCTGAGCTATAGTTATTTCTGTACACTAACAAACAAAGCTATTAGCAACAGGATCTGAGGTAGCTGGTGACCTTGCACAGCTGACAGGCGCGTCATGCCTGTCCTTCAGGGGACCTCACTTAAGTCACTGCTGTGGCTTCCTCAAGCTTGGACATATTTGGTCTAGGGAATGCAAAGAATTTGCTGGCTGAGCAAGTTCATCCATTCTGCTTTGTAACAGGCTCCTCTCCACTACTGCTTCTAAAAAAAGAAAAAAAGAAAATCTCCCAGCAGGCTTTGTTTCAGAAGTAGCACCGTGGTCAATGGGACAGTTTCAGTCTGAAGGATTTTCTCAAAAGAAGCACCCTAACCTCAGGACATAGAATCTGGTTCTGATTTTTGGAAGAGATCTATTTCACTCCCTACTGAAACCTGCAGCAAAGGCCTAGAAGGACATCTGTCTACCTGTCCTACAGACAAACAGTTCATGAGAGGATACAGTTAATGGCTGGGCATTCACTGTATACAAGTTATTCCCGGTTTATTGATGTTTAAACTGAGGATCACAGAAACTAAACACCATGGCCATGTTGAAGCAAGGGGTGGCAGACCAGGACTTGACAGGCAGCTCTAAGGCTGTGTAGTGTTGGAGTTGTTTCTCTTCTCTGGGGAAGCTATTTAACTATCACTAGCTATGTACTATATTCAATTTGATAAAATATGATTAGGCATTAAGTAATGGAATTTGAGAAAAATGCATAAATCAAGACAAGGCTAATGACTTAATTAAAAATCATATAACTGTGATTTTTTTTTATTTGTAAATAACTCTCAACACTGTATCTTAATCATTCTTCAGAAAGCAAAAATTGGTTAGTAATGGCATATAGAAACCATGTTTTTTCTCATGTTTAATTTGCTCACTTATCTTTAGGAGGCAAAATAATTAGCTGTCTTAAGGGAATGAGCCCCCAAAGTACATACCAAATTAATCTGGACGCCTAAGTGGAAAAAGAATATAGAACCATGGCACCATCTAGCGGCAGAATGTAGCCTTGCAAGTAAACAGACGATGCAGTTCCAGTCTACAAATGTGGACAAAAGTGGGTCTGGTTGCAACAAATAATGAAAACGTGCAGACAAGTGGTCAGTATTAGGAGATATAATGCTTCTCAAATGTTTCTGGAGGCAGACCCAATTTCTCTATGAAAGATTCACCCTGGGTCCTGTTGATTTCCTTCGTTGTCCCTATAACCACAGGTAAAATTTTATGAGTTAACAAGGGTCAGGATTAAAAACACCAAGGACGTGAGTACCCGTTCAGTAAGTTGAGAAGGACTTGTCCTCCACAAGGGTTGGTATAGGATTCAAGTGTCTTCCTTCTGGATCCCTTGTCTCTGGTCTTGTCCTAGGTCGGTGCCCTAAGGATGAAGTTTATTGCCTTCTCTCAATGCCCAACGGATATAAAATATGTAAAAACAGTTACCCGTTTCAAAAACATTAGAGTCCAAGAAAATAAAGTAATAAACTCTTGGTGCATGTGTGCAAGATTTGCATTTCATCTGAGATTTCTATTTGGTCTGGTTCATGGGCAATGTGGAGAGGTATTTAGTAATTTTGTAATTCTTATGGCGGAATGAGAATGCTTTCTGGTACCCCCCCCCCCCAAAAAAAAAGAAACTCACTCCAATTTGGTAAATATAAGAGTTAAATAAACACCAGTATAAGTGAAAAATGTATTTACTTCCTTAACATTTTACATGAAGCTAGTTTTTGTCCCAATAGGGTCAGTGACATTCATAGGAAGTGACTGTCCACTCCCTTCTTAAGATGGGTGAGCCTGGCACCCTCCTCAGAAATCCCTTTAAAAAAAAAAACATATTCTGCCTCAAATGTGACAGTCCAAATCCTGAGGCTCCACAATGCCAAGTGTGTGCTACAGTTCTCCAAAACTCTCCATTTTTATGTTGAACTTTCTCCACCATGTAGGTTTTGGAGACTGAACTCAGGTCATCAGATTTGGTGGTGAGCATCTTTACTCAGTGAGCCATCTCTCCAGGGCTACCTTCATTTTGGAGACAGTCTTTCCTGGACCATATTCACATCAGTCAGGACTGGCTAAAGAGTAAGGCCAGGAATCTTCCCGTCTCCTATTCCCTAGTGCTTGCGTTATAGGAACACGCCATAGATTTTGGCTTTTCACATGTGTGCTGGAATATGAACAAGGCCAGCAGTATTGACTGAGCCATCACCCCAGTCCCACGGCATAATTTTTTAGAACAGTGATTCTTAGAAATAAATGCTTATGTGGCCTAGGATTAGTTTAGCACCGACTGACTACTGGCAAATATAAGCCAGGCCAAATTTGTCTTTCAACTTGTTGCTTACCTTTTCAATACTTTCACAGTCCACAGGTGAAACTGGCCCAGAAAAAACAGCAAACGATCAGGAGAGGTCATGTTATTGTGTTTTCTATGGCTTTTGTGGTACCAGAGATTGAACCCAGGATCTTACAAATGCTAGACAAGCATTGCAGCTCTGAGCCATATCACTGGCCTATGAGAATACAGAGTCCACTGTGAGTGAGTTGAGAGGATACAGACTTTAGACAGTCAAGAGTACAGCACTGTGTAAAGCTTTTGAAGACAGGTTTATTTATATATAAGTGCATGAAATTGAATACAGAAACTTTATTAAAATACTGTATATTACAAATTTTAATCCAATAAATTCTGTGTAATGACACAATAAATTCTGTGTACGACATTGAAGTGCTGGGTTCAGTTTAACAGATGTTCTGTGTGTTGTCCTCAGTTCACCCTGTATACTACAAAGAGAAGAGCCATGTGCGGCTCTCCGAAGTTGTCCTGGGACCAGACGCGGGATGGTGTGAGTTGTGCATCTTTACAGCAGTGGATTGACTGCAGTCTCATCTTCGCAGGCCAACTTTCAAGGATCAAGATAACTTGCATATGTTTATTGCTGCCCTTTGAAGAAAATGTGTGGTGAAAAATAATTTAAAATAAGGACCAGCATCTCTGAGGCTAACCCGATGCTTACTGCAATTAAAATACTTAAAATTCACTGCAAAATTTGTGTTCTCCAGGGAGTTATGCTATATATACAATGAAATTTGTACATGACTTGGGAAATAAAAAAATTGCTCATATAAAATTAAAAATCAATAGTATACAATATTTACAGCCGGTTAGGTATTACATATAAACATATTTTAAATAATCCTTCAAAATGAAACTGTTTTATGTAAACATGCAGTACACATCTTCATACAGTGTAGTTTATAGTCTTAACAGAAGGGGAAGTTGTGTTCACATAATGCAGGTACTTCATCAAACACTCTTGCTTGAGTATCACCCTCCAATGTCTATTCTTCCTGTCTTTAAGCTTCACAGTACATTTAGTATTTTTATTGTAAAAATAAATCCCTGATGGCAAACGTATTTCTAAAGGTTACATAAAGTCTGTCCTTGTACTACAATATTAAACTAACACTGTTCACACAGGAATCTCTAGTTTACCATAAAACTCAGCTTTAAAATCCCACATTTAATTTGCTTGACTACATATTTCCCCGTTTCATACTTGCTTGGAAAATGAAGAGCGAGCCAACAGGAAAGGGAAATGCTGCGTGATGAAGGACAGTGAAAGCAGTTGTCTCCTGTCGTAGTTGGTGGCTGACTAGTTCCTAGGGAACCCTAAGAAGGTAGCAGTTGGACTGTCTCAGTGGCCCTTCCTAAGCCTGGAGTCTCACTGTAGGTGGAGTGCACAAACAAAGCCAGCTCACTGGTGCCAACCCCAGCCCCCTACGTACACTCTGCAAAAGGTTCTTAACTTTCAAGACACTGAGACATCATTTAGCTTTTAAAAATTGTACTGTGGTTCAGCTAAATGATTCATCAGTGGGCTGAGAGCTACTACAATTTTAAAGTGAGTTTCTTAGTATTATCTGCCGGATCAATTATACTTGCTACTTAAACAAAGCCACATAACTTCAAAGCTGCTCCCTCATCCTGGGACATCTGAAGGCTGAGGTTAATACGAGGGTAGAAGCACAGGTGAATGTTCTGTCAGATTATATGGCTAAAATGAGCAACAGGGGAACTTCCTATTTATCCATCTAAACAGGTGGACCTCAAGACCAAAGGTGCGTACTGGGGAGAGAGTCAGACTGTTTCTCTATTTCTCCCTGAAATCGCATCCACTATCATAAACACTGAAAAAAAGCTATGCAAACAAAAGCCTCCAGTTGTCTTTCCAGGAAGAAAGCTTTAAAACTGTTCCATCCCAACCATATTGAGTGATGGAACGTAAACATTTTGATTTAAAATGAAGGAGCCAAGCACAGTGGCACACACCCCTAATCCCAGTACCTGAGAGGCTGAGACAGGAGGATCACAAGTTCAAAACTAGCCTGGGCTATACAGTGAGTGAGCCCCTACCTCAAATACATAAAACTTAAAATAAAAGCAAAACAAAATGTTTTAATATCAGTAGTAGTCCCAAGCTACTGCTCATTTAGACAGGGCTCTAAAAAAGTTAATTTTTAAACAGTAATTACCAATACACATCTAAGATGAAAGGACTCTGGTTCTGGGTTAGATGATCACACATCAGAACTCCTCTTTCTGGTATTTATGCCGTACTGTTTCCCAGCTGACATTAGGAGGGAAAGGACTCTGGTTCTGGGTTTAGATGATCACACATCAGAACTCCTCTTTCTAGGTATTTATGCCGTACTGTTTCCTAGTTGACATCAGAGACCTGGGAACTCCCCAAAAGGGGAGAGTGAGACTACATACACTAGCTGTGGGTACAGGACAGCATCTAAAGGAAAACAGGAGCATCACACTGTCCTTCCCTCCGTCACCCCACCCCCACCCCACCCCACCTGACGCCTTCAGCTACTTCCTTTTCCATGAGCTAACCATGGCATAATACAGGCACAGAATGCTCACTCTAGACCAGCACTCCAGCTTCTGTCAAGGAACTGTGACATTGAAATAATAATGAGAGAGACTGTTACAGAAACTGCTAAATAAATCAGTTCAGAAAACCACTAGATAAGTTCAACACATGTACCACACACACAGGTAAAGAATGTGAGAGCCAATCTCCTAAATTAAGAAATTATTCTGGATCACAGCTCAGCTTGTTCAGAAAGGTGAATGCTGCCCTACCCCCACAAAGAGGTAGCACTTCCTGTTTACTGAAAACATTTCAAATATTAAGCATTAATTCCTCCCAAACAAATTCTAGCTATGTTCTGTCATAGGCAAATTCAGAAACCAAGACACCACACTGGATTACCTAGGGGGAACAAGGATCTCCAAGGGAGGAGGGCAAATCCACCACACACAAAATGCACCATGATTTTAAGTGCATGTGTTTGGTAGAGCCCACACTCCCTAGAGTGAAATATTAGCAAACTTGTATCTCACTGGAGTTTAAATTCTTAACAGGATGGAGGAACTATGCTTGCGGAACGCAGGGAACCTCATCACACATGCTTTTGTGCACTGACCTCTTAACAATTCCTCCTCTTTCAACTTCCCTCTGTTGCAAATGGTATTATTCACACACATTTAAAAAACATTATATTTTAAAATCAAATAATGTCCTTTATATTCTGAACAGTTTCAAAAGGATGAGAAATTCTGGACAACCAGGAGACTACTAGATGATGTCACGTCTCACCACTGAGAATGTAACCAAAACCCTTGATTTTAAAAAGTAACAGCACTTTACTCAGTTACACTTAACTTGTGTTACCATACTTCTCTGCAATCTAAACCCATGAGAAATTCCCCAGTAATTTCCCTGTATTCCTCATGTCTTACAAACAAAATAAATAGGAGTGCTTCCAAATATTGTTTGAGACATTCTTCAAAAAGGTTTTCAAATGGCAATAGCACTGTCTGCAAACAGTTCAGAAAGTGTTCTCAGCATCTTGTCACTCCCTCCATTATAAAATGGTCATAAGTTTAAGATAATGGTTTTTTTTTTTAGGTTAAATAGAAAATAGGTAATAAACAAACCAACAGTGACAGGATACAGAAGTGCCAAATGCTCAGGATGACAGGTGACAGGTGACCAGGAGAGGTGAGGAGCTACAACAAGGGCAAACCTTTGGATAACGGAAAGAGTCAATGAAGGTTTGGAGTCAATCCAAAGAAGTAGGAGACGGCAGCGGAGGAAATGCTGGCCACCTCTACTCTTCCTGTAGTAAGCAGCGGTGACAACCTCATAGTTTCCTCCTGTCTGCCCTGCACCACCAACTCCCCGAAGTACCCTTAGAAGAGTTACCTGCTGACTTTAAGAAGAGGAGGTGCCAAAAGCAAGGCTACAGGAAAGGTTTGTTTCCTTTCTTAAAATATACAGAAAGACATGAAATGGATGAAGAGAGGTAAATTTTACAAAACATCATCTCTAATGGGTATCACAAAAATGAACTGTAAATTCTATTGACTGTCTTCTGAGCACTTACTGTCAGATATGCATTCTTTTACCCAGGAGAAATTCATCAAAGTCCAGAGTGAAACCTGAAACTAAGAGTGGTTAAATGATGCTCAGATCAGAGGGAACAAGGCGACAGAGCCTAGACTCAAGACTGCAGCACTGGCTGAGAATCTAGTCCTTTCTCCCCTAGCTCCCCTTAGAGCAACATCTAAGACACTGCAATGCCCAATTCAGAGGATGAGATGGGAAAACAACAACTAGTTCACAAGAGGAAGAGAAGGATGAGTCTCAGGAAGCAACAAGGTACTAGCCCAAGCTATTTAGGGCTTGAAATTGTTTAGCCAGTTCCTGGTGGACTCGAGTGAGGGAATCCTATTTCAGCCGTCTTTGTACATAGGAGATGGGAACACACCAAACTGAGCTAGGTAGTGAGTGCCAGTCTGGGTACCTTAAAGAGGCCACCCTACCTTCCACTGCAAATGAAAGGTCCTGGAAGCACTGTTTCCTATAGCATTTTTTTTAAATCTTAAATCATCCAGTGAACCTTCTTTCCTTTCATAAATAAAACCTCCCAAGGGCTTGGAAAAGAAGCCGTGGAATTCTGCATTGCAAATACTAAGAAAGTATCCTGGATAAGACTTTAACACTGGATTATACATATGAGAATTCAAATTAACAATGACACTTTAAATGGAAATGAATGCAGGCATCAGGTCCCCTGAGAAGCCAATGGAACTGTGCCAGGGCCCATGACCTGCACCTCTTTCTTGAGAAGTTAACAGGCTTCACTTGTAACTTACATGAGGCCCTGGTGCTAAAGAGTTTTCCTTTGTCATGAACGAAATTTACTGCTAGACCATGGCCGAGTTTTCAGAACATGGAACCTGACTATGTTGGTGGAAGCTTTTGTCATGTCCCAAACAAGGGTCTCCAGCAAAAATCCTAAACACCCTCCAGTCTATTTAAAAGATCCTTTAACTGAACAAATATATCAACTTCTCCAATAGGAAAATGTTCATTAAACAAAGCTTTCCAATTGGACCGTATTCATATATAGATATCTATATATGTATATAATGATATACTTGTGTGTGTGTGTGTGTGTGTGTGTGTGTGTGTGTGTATATCATTAAACATTTGTCTCTATAAGAAATGGCTATCTTCTTGAAAACTTCACCATATAAACAGCTATTTAGACAGTTTCATAAATCCATACTATTCAACTGCATTTCAAACTACCAAGAGTGACAGTTACACAAAATCCCAATGGAAATAACTGAAGAAATTAAAAATGCCCCTCAAAATAAAAGTACACACACATACACACACAAACACAATTCTTAATGCAAATCAGCTTGACAATGAGATGACTTCAGGACAGTCTATAAAATGATAACCCTCTCAGACTTTCATCCTAGAGCAGAAACAGGAGCTCAAACCTTTTTGGTCCATTCATTCACATATTCAATGTGTCAAGCTAATTTCTAGTTAATTTTAGGTTATAAACACTGGGCTCCATATTACCTCCTATGATAACTTTCTTAGATCATAAAATAACCATGTTAAAATAATTATTTGTTCTGTACATGAGGAAGCACTGTCCATGTTAGCAATTTTCCTGCTGGTACACGAAGCTCTGAATTCTGGACAAGCTGCTTGAGGGAAGAGCAGAAATCAGCCAACACGAAAGGAGAACCAGGTCTATCTGGAAAAGATGCCTAGGTTTCACTTCAGAAAGCATGAAGAATATAAAGAACACATGGGAGAAACAGCAGGCTTGTACACAGAATCCATCTCTAGACTTGTTTTCCCACATTTCTCAGGGTGAAGACTTGCTGATTGGTTGATTTGGGGGGTTGTTGAATTTCCAAGTCACATTATAAACTGGTTTATGTACTGGCAAAAGCAGCCCCTCCAAAAACTGTCAATATATTCTTTTGCTAGAGAAAAGGGGTATGGATAATAAAAGTCTTAAAACTAAATTAAGTTAAAGAGCTTAGGGTGCTCCATTATTTTTTAGCTTACTTACAAATTCATAATCTCTACAATGGATATTCTCTTAAGTTAGCACACTGTAATCACAACTAGTTAACCATCTTCCCCGCCCCCCACAATACTCAGTTCAACCAGGGTCTGTACTTTCCCGACTTCTTGTATTCATAACCAACAACTGTGTATTTTTATAAACCTCCTAAAAGGTTTTACAGACAAATTCTATATTTTAGAATTTTAATGAGTGTGATCCAAGACACTATTTGACTCAGGTAATAACTTAGAAACACGAACTCAAATGACACCCCTGAAATGAGCCCTCAGACAAAGGCTCTGTGCTGTCTTGATACACTCTGACGAACTGCCAACTTGTAAGTGATACACTATGTCCGTCCCCCAGTTTTTATTTAGTGTAATCCTAACCCCACCACACACACAGAGCAAGAGAGTTCCTGTTCTTCCTATGTAAGGTACTTATTACTCTTCTATAAATGAGGCATTTTAAATCCCAGAGCCTAATTTAGGCCACTCTCTAAGCAGTTAGTACTCCGGAATCAAAGACTGCCGAAACGTGTACACGTACAACACAATCCTACCACAACATGAGTTAGAAGGTCGTGTTCTGTGACTTATGAGGCAAGAACTTTCTTAGAAGGGTTGAAGAATGCAACATGCATTTCAGACTTCTTACAAAATTTATAAGAAAAATTTCAAATGATGTTTTATGACACACAAGTGACAATGTGTTTGAATCCATATAAATAGAGTATGATGTACAGGGAAACCATTAAAAGGGTGAAAGTCACTGCAAAGTATGCACCCTTCAAGTCTATTTGAGTTCTTAGAACAGCTCAGCTAGTCTTCCATTAAGAAGACTACTGTTTTTCACTTAAATTAAATAACAACACATAGACATATTAAAGCCCCAAGTCCCAGAAACACTCAGCTTTAACAACCAAATGCCTTCCTTAGTACTGAAAGCCTGGTGTTCGGCATTCATACAGGAGTGAACATGACAAAACAAAGTCTGACTATGTTACCTGAACCCATGTCAAGTACATTCACAGCACTCACCTACATCTACACTTGCAAACTGTCACATGATCGATGTTAACAGAAAGAAAAGTTTGGCACATAGATCAGTTTCTCAAAACGTCCCTGTAACTTAACACAACACTGTTGAGAAGGATGACCTCACACCAATGTTAACCTGATTGGCAGCTAAACAAGGTGCTTTTTCTTGCAGCTTCACAGAGTGTCCTGTGCACCTTGCCTGGGATGGAGGCACGTAAGGTGCAGTGCGGTAGTGCAATCACTTGAACGCCAGAGGGCAGGCTTTCCACACAGCTCAAGTCTTCCCTAGGTTTGACTTGACGGGTCCCTGCTTGTACAATTTCATTTCAGCTGGTTAACAACGCCATTTCCGGGGAAGCTGTACATCTATTTCCTTAGTTAAGAAGACATTCCCTCAGAACCTCAAAGTGTCGCGAGGATCCTTGAAAAGGAGATGATAAGGGTCAGTACAGTCTGCCCCACGCCCCACACCAGGGCTTCCAGGGGAGCCATGTTCTTCCCAGCCACTCTGTAGATGCCTGCCACTGCTGCACCTGTGAGGGAAGCAGAGCACAGGGTCACCAGGGCACCACCTGCCACACGGCTGCTGCAAAGGTCACCTTTCAGTTTACCAAAGCAGAATACTTCAATACATCCTCGCTCTTCTATGTGACTGGTTAAAAGTTACTACCTTTACTACACAACACATAATCACTGAATTCAAGAATGGCTTTTTCAACTCAGTTATAATACACAGCTTATGCTCTCATCCCTTTTAATGTGAAAACTGTTTTAACAACTGCCACTCGTATTTTACTCCAGAATAAACTCTCATCCCCTTTCATTCATATATATAAATATATATGGTATGTGTATGTACGTACACACACACACACACACACACACACACACACACACACACACACACACACACACACGAAAGGAAAGAATTAGGTGCTGCCCTGGAACTCTCTGCACTAATTCTCGCCAGTAGCCATGGCATGGGAAAGCCTATCAGTGTCTCACAATACAACTAATGGTATTGGAATAACTCAGTAGCCATCTGGAAGAAATAGACTGAAATTCCTACCTCATACCATTCCATCAGGCAGACTAAAGAACAAAATGCTAAAAATAAATAAAACCACAACTATAAACTATGAAACACAAGCGAATGGATTTAGTATCCTAGGAAAGAGGTGACCTTAAAACCATGGTGGTGGGGGAAGGGAGGAGAAAGGAAGAAAAAGAAAAGAAGGGGGCGGGGAGTAGTAGAAAAGAGAAAAGGAAAAGGACCAGGCATAGTGGCGCACATCTTTAATCACAGCTCTCACGAAGCAGAAGCAGCTGGTTCTCAGTGAGTCCCAGGCCAGCCAGGGTTACACAGGTTACACAGTGAGATCCTTCCTCAAAAGTCAAACAAATGTGGTCTGGAGAAATGGCTCAATGGCTAACAGCACTGGCTGCTTTTGCAAAGGACCTGGGTTTAATTCTTAGCACCCACACAGTGGCTCATGACTACCTGTAACTCCAAGGGACCCAACACCCTGTTCTGGCCTCCATGGGCATCAGGCACACAAGTTGTGCACATACACACACACACACACACACACACACACACACAAAAAAAAAAAAAAAAAAAAATTTAAACGAAACAGCAGAAGCCCTAGATGCAGAGAATGAGCTCTGCACTCCAGAGGCAGCATTGTTGTGCCTAGGAGCCCACGCTTCTGTCTTTAACTTTCTGAACTTTCCTGACACTCTTGGACAAGCCTCGATAAGAGCTGTGCATATTTTACTCTTTCTACTTTGTGCAGTAATTTGGATTGGGGGGGTAAATATTCTTTAAAATTTTGGTGGGGTGACATGAATAGCAAATTTAGGTCTGGAGATGGGGGAGGGGGCCCTTCAGCATTTCAAAGATTTAAAAGTGTTTCTGTTCCATTAGTGCTTTCTATTTCTCCGAATGCCAATTTTGACCAATTTTAAGTTTGTAAATTCTTTATCCTTTACTACACTTTGGTTGTTTCCTCAGTCCTGGTCTGTATTTGACTGTCTTAACACTAAGCCTGTCAGCAGTCTATATCTCTCCAGAGCACCAAGTCTTTGTGAATCCTAACTAAACACAACTAGCCAAGCATCACAGTATTTCCTCAACCAATACAACTAAAGTATGACCAAAAAGCACATGCACACCAGTTGTAAGATGATGTTTAGGATTTAAGCAAAACACAGTCCTCCCACTGAGGAAAACAGTTTAATCTCTAATGAAAGGGTAGGTAAGTTCCGTAAGTGAACACGTCACATATCCTAACATTCCAGAGCTTCCCAAGAAAGTTCTAATAAAAACCACACTTGTGCTTTTGAGGGAATTTAGCAGACATACTCTAAAATTCACATGAAGAAACAGTTCATGAACAGCTAACTTTGAATTACCTAGGACACACGACACCATACGACACCATACCACCTCCATGACACACTACAAAACCAGAGGCCTAGGAAATGTGGCCTTGCCAAGAGATGGATCCTTGGGCCTTGAGAATACAGCAATTCAGAAGGCGGCACCCACAGACTGATCAGCAACTGGTGAGTTACTTCAGTGGGTGCTGGGGTGAATAGTGACTTACCATGTATGAGGGGGTCCCACCTAATGCTAAAACCAGAGGTAGACTTGGGCCAGGACTGAGTTCAGACACCTGTTTCTGGGAATAGTTTTCTCTGAAGAGTGATGTCCATTCATTTTCCCACATCCAGGCTTTGTGCTGCAACAGCAGGCTGGAGTAACTGGGATCACTGCCTCCCGAGTCTGAAACATTTACCATCTGTCCCTTTAGGAAGATTTTTGATGACTCCTGCTCTAGATGAATTAAAGACTTACTATAAGAAGTAAAGATATAAAATAAAGAATATATATCAAAGTGCCTTTTTTTCTGGTGTGAGATAGAATTTCTTAAAGGCCCAAATTATAAACCATAAGTGTGTGGGGGGGACCCTGTAAGCTGATTACATTGCTATTTAAACATTTCTACTCAATAAACTCACTGGACAAAGGGCACTGGGAAGAGCCTGGGAAAAGGTATTTGCAAAGTCCCATACCAGGCGAAGCTCTCAGCCTGCACATATGAGAAGCAGCTGTAATGGAGTCAGAAGGAAACAGGTGCATCCAAAGGAAAGCACAGAGTTAAGCGATGTGTACAGGGGAAAACTCAGAATTGCGGGTGGAGGAAGAGATGCTGAGACCCACCGGTATACAGAGAAACACAAATTAAATCAATAAAAAGCTGTTACTCTACACCTTTAGATTGGCTTAAATGTTTATAAAAAATTAGCCAGCTAAAATTGGGCACTATAAAGAAATAAATACATTTTGTTTTCTTTTTAAAATTTTATTTGTAATGGGGCATGGTGGCGAATGCCTTTAATCCTAACCGTCCAGAGACAGAGGCAGGCAAATCTTCAAGTTCCAAGACAGCCAGGGCTACAAAGAGAAACCCTGTCTCAAAACAAACAAACAAACAAAAAAAAACCAAAAGATAAACCTTTATGTATGTGGGGGGGGGGGGGGGGTGTGACGACACGGGACAGGTTGTGTGTGCCCACATGTAGAGGTAGAAGAGGATGCTGGCATCCTGGGTGCCCTCTACTGTCACTCTGCTTTATTCCCTTGAGACACTGAACCCCACTGAACCAGAAGCACACCACTTTGCAGCTAGGCTATCTAAGCAAGGGTCAGTGAGCCCCTAATCTCCAAAGCCCCCACCCCTCACCAGTGCCGGGGCTCCAGGCTTGCATGGCCATACCCGGGGTTTTGCATGGGAGCTGGGGACCAACTCAGGCCCTCCCATTTACGCAGCAAGTACTCACACCCACTGAGCCCCCTTCCTAACACCACCTCTGTTTTTGGTTTAAATCAAATCTGGCAGTATCAATATTAACCAGCATGAGAAAAACAAGCAAACAGAAAATCCAACCACACATCACATTTTCTTGGAAATAAAATCTAAGTAACAAATACAGTGGATATATGCCAATATTCATCCCATCAGTGTCTTACTGATAAGGATGATATTCCGCAACTGTTAAGTTCAGTGTAGAGCTATGTATAAGCCACCAACAAGCTACATTAAGAAAAGACATAGAGGGGCTGGAGAGATGGCCCAGTGGGCAAAAGCACTGGCGGCTGCCCCTCCAGAGGACCTGGGTTTGAGTGGTGGCGCATGGCCACCTGTAAATCTAGTTCCAGGGATCTGACATGCTCTTCTAGCCTCTGAGAACACTGCACACATGTGCACACAGACACACATGCAGGCAAAACACCCATACACATAAAATAAAAATTGAAAAGATTTTTTTAAAAAGATAAAAAAGGAAGATACACAGCTAAATATTATAGCTAGTTTTCTTAATTCATGGTTGCAAGTAAAAAAAAAATGCTGACAAAATATTTCTGTGTATTCTTGCTAACCTAAGAACCAAATTTTTATTTGAAATTTGTGGCAGACTTACATTTTCAAGGATTTTAAAATATTTCATTGCAGTTTTAAAAATTACTAGCTTGTTGGGTAGTGGTGGCACAAGCCTTTAAGCCCAGCACTTGGAAGGCAGCAGCAAGTGGATCTCTGTGAGGCCAGCCTGGTCTACACAAGCGAGTTCCAAGACAGACAGGACTAACACAAAGAAACCCTGTCTCAAAAATCCAAACCAACCAACCAAACCATTAACTTATTGTTATATTCTCGATGGAACTGAAAGTGGTTATATGCATACACCCATATTAGACATAAACAGAAGTAGAATTAAATACCTCACACACCCTTCAAAATCTTACAGTGACACACACATGCACAGCGTCTACAACATCTGAGCAAACCCTCCTCCCTCCTCTGCTTATGGACAACAGTAGCCCACAGTCTTTAAATGTCAGTCACCACAGTGCACAGTACACAGTGCACAGTGCACAGTGCACAGCCGTCACCTAGCGCAGATCCTGACACAGCACTGGCTCCACGTGGACCTCTTAATTCCTCTTCCTTCCCCTTTATTCTCCCTTCTGACCCTCCCCACTTCCTCCCTCCTTTTCCTCCTTCGCTCCATCCACCCAGCCGACAGTATTCACTCTTATTAGTGGTTTTATTAGTGGGTGTGGCCGTGAGAGCCTGCTCTCTGAGTTTTCTCTTGCTTCTTTTCATATACTCCATATACAGTTATAGGACAAAATGTCTAACTGAAGAGCTTACCCCGTATCAACCCCCTGTAAAATATCTCTCTGCGGCCTGGAAATGGCTCAGAGGTTCAGAGCACTCACTGCTCTTGCAGAAGACCTCAGTTCAGTTCCCAGCAACCATGTGGCAATTAACAACCACCAGTAACTCTAGTTCCAGAAAATCCAGTGCCCTCTTCTGGCCTCTGTAGATACTGCATGCACACAGTGCACAGATGTACGGGCAGGCAAAACACCAAAAGGAATCTCTTAAAAGGGAAAATAAAAACATGCATTTGCAGGAAAAAAAAATCCAACTTTTCTGGTTAGCCTTTCAAAACCCTTTAGCAGTCACTCCAGTCTCTTTCCAGATGACTCTCCTATGACCCTAGCAGCCGGACCTGGGCCTGGGCCCTCATTTCAAACCTGACCTGTGACAAGGTAGACAAGAAACCACAGGATAAGGTCACACAATGCCCCCAAATAAGCCAACCCAGGAAACCAAACAGTAAAGACGGGATTAAAGGAGAAAGAGAGAGAGAAATCACTCTTTCCCACAGGTGTTTCATTATGGTTGATGTCAGGAGACAACACAGGTAGACCTGCTTCCCTCTTCAGACAAGATATGCTAATCCCTCAGGAATGGGTTTACTATAAAGGTAAGGCCTTCCTCCTACTGTGGCCAGAATCAACTCAAAGAAATCTCTCATGGAGAACCCCAAAACAGATGCAGTGTAGCAGTGAGTTGTCCCCGCGGGTGCCACTTAAGTGTATGAGAAGTCCCCAGCTGTAGGCACAACCTAGTAAGACAGCAGTGTGGGGCTCCCAGGATGCAACTGGCTTCTGCTCAATCAGCAGCCTCAGAAACCAGAACTCTGAAGAGCTGGGTAGAGTAGGGCCAAGTTCAGTGTCAGGGGAACAAACCCAGGTGACGTGTAAGAGACAGCTCAGAAAACTTGTACGTTTCCTGGAGCAGAGAAGTTTTGTCACAATATGTGGTACAAGAAGAAATGCAATTCTAGGCTGCTGTCACAGGCAGATGACCCTACAGACTCAAAGGCCATAGTTTCCTGTTCGTAAATGACAACTGTTACTGATGTATTTTAGTGCCCATCTTCCTTCCTTAGTAAACAGTAGGTGTCTTTAAAGCAGAAACTACTTTTTCTACAAAACACTTTCAGACTGAACCACTCTGCCCCCTGCCAGCGCCATTCCCCGTGAATCCCCAGAGTAAATCTTCACACAGTGAAGTGCAGCTATCTGTCTGGTGAGTTCGTGAACTCCTCTTTGTCTTTGAGGCCCTGGGTTGTAAAGTGCTGAGGAGGAGTCTACATGAAAGATAAGGCTTCTTTTACCCTAAGGACAGTACTGACCAAAACAATTGCATATAAAATTACATCCCTCAAAGAACCAAGTCGACTTACTAGTAATCATAGCTCCAGTCACAGAGGCCAGAAAGCCGACGCTGACAGCAATGACAGAGATCACTCTGCCCTGCCTGTGCCTCTGCAGCATCACAAACATCAGCACGCCTGCAGCACCGTGGACAAACAGAGAGGAGAAGAGAGCCCAGAGGAAGATCCAGTACCACATCTCTGAAAGGAAAGAACAGTGTTAGTCCCACTGCAGAAATACAGATCAGAAGACCCAGTCAGCAAACAGTGAGCAGCCAGGGCTGGGGAGAAGCCTGAACAAGCCCCACATATAAAAAGGCCTAGCCTGCTGTCTGACTCATGGTATTACTAAGAAAGTCAGTGATTACCATTAATGCTAGCGCGTGATGGGGAAGAATTCCTTCATGATCTCAGAAGGTGAAGGCCACACTGCCATGTCCTCTCCATTTCCCATTTACAAAGCAACCCATCAGCTTGTCTCCTGTCTTGTAATAATCTTACCCAGGACTTTGATAATCCTTTATGCTTTCTTCAATATGCTCCCAATGGGCTGTTCACTGTTGTCTTCCTATCCAGGGACAGAGCACACCCTATATTCCGTCTTTCTAGCCGTCACTTCCTTTCTTCCAGGCCTCTGCTGCCTCCCATACCATCTACACACTTCACATGGATATTGATGCCCTGCACTGGTATAACTCCACCTCCTTGGCCATACCTAAGAGGCACATGCAACAGAGGCAGCAGCTGCTCCAGGTGGGGCCAATCCTTCCCTTTCCCTGGGAATTCTTGATGGGAATGCACTGACTCTCCTCCATCTTTGGCTAACTGAAGTTAAACCTATTTCCTCTGCATACAGTGCAAGCCACAGTACAGAAAGAAAGAAAGAAAATAGATCCATCAAAGATAAGAGGCCACCAAGTCTAGTATTTCAGTGACTTCTGAGGTCTGTCACATTACCATCCTTAAATAGACTTAACATCACAGTTTCTCTATACTAAAACACTTGTTTCATGGGAAGTAACTCAGAGAAGGTTGCTTATAACTGAAAAGCTGTCTACCATGTTTAGCCACCCTTGAGAGGGTCCTCTTTGGTATGTAGATATTCTACAAGGAAGGACTTCCTCTGATGTTTATGCTACTTGTATTTTCTGTCAGGTCACTACAAAGAGACACATTTTTAAAAATAAGCCCTATTTATTCAAACATCACGGTGGAAATTTGTAATGGTGCAATTACCACAAAAAACAAACAAACAAACAACAGTATGGCAGTTCCCCAAAAACCTAAGAGCAGAATCACCATATGGTCCAATGCCATTTTTCAGTATATATCTGTGTTGGTTAGGTTTTATTGTCAATGTGACAAAACCCAGAGTCACCTGTGGAAAAGGAATCTCAATTGAAGAATTGCCCAGATCAGACGCCCTGTTTGTGAGGAACTGTCTTGATTGATGGCTGTTTCAAGAGGGCACAGCCCACTATGGGTGGCACCATCCCTAGACTGTGTAAGAAAGGTAGCTGGGGACTGGAGAGATAGCTCAGCAGTTAAGAGCAAATTGCTTCCTAGCACCTACATGGCAGCTCACAATGTTTTAAAACTCCAGTTCAGGGGCTCCAATGCCCTTTTCTGGCATCCATGGACACCTGGTACACATACCTACATGCAAGCAAAATACTCACCCTCATAAAATAAAAATAAATAAACTTTAAGAAAGCTAGCTGACCAGTTACCATGCCAAAGTGAATAAGGGAAGTCTTACAAAGTCCCAACCCTAGATGAAGAGCTATAGTCAATTAATGACTGCTGAGAGAGGGAAAAAAATCATTCCGAGATGATCCTCTCAAATGGCTATCCAACACCAAGTGGTCAGCCCTAAAAACATATACAAACAAAACTAAGTGGACTCAGCAGGTTCGATTTATGTACTGTCTACATGTAACAAAAAGAACTAAAGAAAAATAGGAAAATGTTTGGGTAATTAGTAAAGAAGGGAGGGAGAGAAAGAGGGAGGAAGATATCGAGATAGCTGAGGATGAGCACAACAATGGACTGTGATCTGGAAGTATAAGACAAACTCTTTTCTCCCTTCAGGTGGTTTTGGTCATGGTTTTCGTCACAGCAATAGAATGAAACAACAGAAATTAGTAATAAAAAAAAGTAGGAGGACTGTGTTACTTTTTGGACTGTTTCATTGGAGAATTAGGCTGGGAAAGTTGTTGAATGTTGGAAGCAGAACTTAATGGGCTTTAGTGGAAGATAATGCTGAGAGACATGTCAATAGTAGAGGCCTGGATTATGAGGAAGCGGGGGAATGGATAGAGGCCATTCGTGTGGTATTTGACAAAGAATCTGGCTGTGTTCTGCTCCTGCCCTGAAAACTTCTATGAGGCCAGAATAAAGAGCACTGGACTCATGTATTAAGCAGGAAATTTCAGGACAGCATAGCACCAGGCCTAGGGTACGGTTATTACTGATTACTCTGATGCAAGCCTACCATGAAGAAAAGCAACAGGCAGAAAGAAAAAAAATGTGCAGCTTGGAGAGGAAGCGAGCGGCAGGAAAGGTAATAGTGCAGTAAGGTCATTTGCTGAAAAAGGTTGTGACTGTTGACAGACAAATATCACTAAAGGGAAGCTTTACTGGGATGAAGGGGACTCTGAGGGCAAGGCCTCACCCAGCTAACATACACCATGTGACAGGAGAAAGCCTAAGGGGTTCTGTCCCCAGAAAACAAACACTTAGGTAAGTTCATCCACAGCTTCAGCACACAGAAGCATCTATAGCTGTGTTCCAAGGGAAGGCCCAGGGTCCATTTCACACTGGCAGCTGACCTTGGCAGTGCCATCCACTTGGTCTGCTTTTTGATGTATGAAAGATGCACGATCAAGGAAGTCATGGGTTCTTCCTTCACAGTTTCAGAGAGCTGCTGTATCTGTCAGGGTTCTCTAGAGGAGCAAACTGATAAAATGAACCTATACATACATTAACAGGAGATTTTTTTTAACATCTGGCTAGTCCAACAACAGCTGTCTCCTGAAGAAAAGTCAAAAATCCTGTAGTTGTTCAGTTCACAAGGCTGGATGTCTCAGCAGTCCCAGGCTGGTGCTAGAGTCTCACGGAAATCCTAGAGAGCTGCCTGTCTACACTGGAATCCCAAAGTAGGTTCTACTATCAGCAAAGGAATGCCTCAGCAGCAGGAGAGATGAACTTGCCAGCCAGAGTGACAAGCATGCAAAGAACAAAAGTTCCCTTCTTCAATGTCATCTTATGTGCAAAGCCACCAGAAGGTGTGGCCTGGATTTCAAGTGGGTTTTCCAACTTCAAATGATTCAGACTTACGGTGGATCTTCCACATTAAATGATCCAATCAAGAAAAATCCTTCACAGGTACGCCCAGCTGTGTGGTTTTAGTTACTCTAGATTCAGCCACGCTTTGAGTCTTAGAAGAGACTTTGAACTTTTGAACAGGAAAGTATCTACTCCAGTAAAGACAAAGCATCCTTCCCACAGTGGAAGTGACCCAATGTAGTCAACTGCCATCAGGTCGCTGGCTGGTCACCCCAGGAAATGGTGCCATTTTGGGGACTCATTGTTGGGTTTCTAATGTTGGAAGGTCTCACACTCAGCAGCAGCTATAGCCAGGTCAGCTTTGGTGAGTGGAGGTCCATATGTTGAACCCATGCATAACATCCATCTCTGCCACCATGACCACTCTGTTCATGGGCCCACTGGGCAATGACAAGGATGGCTAGGGAAAGAGGCTGACTGTCCACAGAACTGTTTAATCCTATCTACTTGATTATTGAACTCCTCTTTTGCTGAAGTCACCTTTTGATGAGCATTTACATGGGACACACATGTCTTCACATCCTTTGCCCATTTGGAGAGATCTATCCACATACTTCTTCCCCAGATGTCTTTCACCAATTTCCCAATCTTGCTCTTTCCATGTCCCTGGCCACCCAACCAATCCTTTGGCTATAGCCCACAAATCAGTGAACAATCAGACATGTGGCTATTTCTTCTTCCAAACAAAATGTCTGATGTGTACTGCCTGAAGTTCTGCTCACTGTGGAGATTTCCCTTCGCTGGTGTCTTTCAGGGTTGTCCCTAGAGAGGGGTTGTTGTAATGCTCCAGCTGTCCACTTCTGGTGATGCCTGCATAATGTGAAGAACCATCAATAAATCAGGTCCTAGTCTTCTCTTCCTCAGTCAACTGCTCATAGAGCACATTTCATGAGGCTATAGGTACATGCTTGGGAACAAACAACATTGTAACAGGAGCAGAAATGATAGGCATTTGGACAACTTCTTCATGTAACTTGTTTGTGCCTTTATGACCTGCTTGGACTCTATCACATACGTACGTACCACTTCCATTTGATAATGGATTGCTGATGTGCACATCCTACTTTATGGCTTAGTGGGTCAGATAACACCCAGCTCATGATGGGCAGTTCAGGTAGCATGGCAACTTGGTGGCCCATTACAGTTTCCATGAAGGCCCAAAAGCAGGCCAAGAGCTGTCTCTCAAAGGGAGAATAGTTGTTTGCAGATGATGGTAGAGCCCTGCTCCAAAATCCCAAAGGTCTCGTCTGTGATTCACCTATAGAGGCCTGCCAAAGGCTCCAAACAGCATCCCTATCTGCCACTGACATCTCAAGTACCATCGGGTCTGCTAGATCATATGGTCCAAATGGTAAAGCAGCCTGCACAGCAGCCTGGATCTGTTACAGAACAGAGTCTTCTCTTATTCCAGGCCCCATACAAAGCTAGCAACTTTCCAAGTCACTTGGTATATGGGCCAGAGTAACACACCCAAGTGAGGAATATGCTGACTCTGAGGGAATGCTTCCAAGAAGATTTTAGCTCGATGATACTGGTCTCTTGTTAATCACAGCTAATAGCTCAGCCCCAGCTGACCAGCACCAACTATCCCAGTAAAGCAAAGGTGTTACTTCAACGGTTCTGGTATCTTGTTAATCATAGCAGTTTCTTCAGTCCCAGCCTACCAGAACCATAAATTCTTAACTCAAAATAACAAATGGCCCTGACAGTCATTAGGGATTCTCAAACTTCCCTCTGAAACTTCACAAGCCAGGCCTCCATTGTCTGCACTGCTCTCAACATTCTTATTTTCCAAGCTCCCATAGAACAGCTCACCAAGCTTTGAATGGTAAATGGCTTTTCCATGCTAAAGT